ATAGGGGAAGAATAAGGCATGGGAGACAGCACAGAATAAAACACAAACTGAGCACACCACAGACACTAAGGAGTGTGCAGGGTCTGGCAACCGAGACAGCAGGAAACCGGAAGGAAGCCAAGTCACACCAGAAGGAAGCCAAGTCACTACAGAGGACTCAAGTCCAACCGGGCGCTGGCCTCTTGGCCTGATGGGGACTGAAGAGGCCAACGGACAGGGCTACAGGGCCCACAGGGACAGACAGGAGGACCTGTTCCTGCTGTCCCCACCACCTGCCACCCTATCGCTTGAAAAACCACTGAAGTCTGTGTACGACTTTGAAAGATTGTAATATATTCTCTGGAAAACATTCAGCAGTACGAAAGCCCTCCCGCCCGCTCGTGGGCCCACACTGATGGAGTGATCTGGAAATCCTTGAGCTCTGAAAGGTCCCTGGTCAGTCCTCGGGGAATACAGGTGGCTATACAGGAAGAACCTGTTCAAGTACAGTTCTTGATGTCTGGGGAATCCTTTCAGGGAAGATCACTTCAAACTCAATAATTAGGTCCCCGCGTGTCTCGAGCGCAATCTTGTCTTTTTTAAAAAAATAAAATAAAAAGTATAGTTTTTACAATTTTCTACAATTCTCTGCAGGACCCTGTACTGTGGCCCAGTCAAGATAGTGGCAGCAGAGGCCAGGCCGCCCTGGCTCTTCTGGCTTTTGTGTAGATGAGGCCGTGGCCCACTGCACTGAGTTCTTACCCAGAGACGAGATACACAGGGAACTCACCTCTTCCTCCTCTTCCCTCTTTGAAGCCTCCATTTAGTCCTCTTCCTGAGGAGAGGTCATCTAATGTCATTTTCTTTGCAATGAGAAGCAAGCAGAATTATCACTGAGCACCAAAATGAGAAGTATCCCTAAAGCATTAGTTTGCCATGTTGAGACTGAGTCTACGGGGTGGGGGGGTGGGGGGGGGGCAGAATGACACCTGCCTCTGCTCCCCACCCCCCCACAAGGTACACATCCCCTAATCTCTGTAATCTGTGACTATGTCACTTTACTTGGCAAATGTGATTAAGGATCTTAAGAAGGGAGATTATCCTGGACTGTTTGGTGTCATCATGAAGGATCCTTCTAAGAGATTCTGGAGGGCCAGAGTCAGAGGTGAGAGAAAGACAGACAGACAGAGTAGAGATTAGAGTGATTCAGTGGCTGGCAGGGTGCCATAGGCTGAGGCATGCAGCTGACTAGACACTGGATGCAGCAAAGAACAGCCTTTCCTCAGAGACCCTGGCAGCACAGCCCTGCCGCACCTCAATTTGCACCCACTGACTTCCAAGACTACTGTTGTTGTTGTTGTTGTTGTTGTTGTTGTTGTGTACCGTCTAGTACGAACCAACCCATGGCTGACCCTCTGGCTGATTTTCAGAGACAGTTTATTGCTTGGGAGGAGACTGCCCACCCTTTTCCTGCGGAACAGCAGGTGGCATCAAACCACATGCCTTCGGGGTTGCAGCACAGCTTCTTCCATGATTTGAAATCCCTTTTTCAGACTCTCTTCTGATAGCAAAGAGGTCTAGTGGCATAGTGCGCTACCATGTTGCACCATTAACCTCACGGTCAGCAGTTCAAATCTACCAGCTGCTACATTAAAGAAAGATGAGCAATCTCACTCAGAGATTTACAGCCTCAGAAGCCTGATGAGGAATCTCCAAAAGTCAGAATCACTGGACAGCAGTGGGTTTCTCCTGGCGGAGGCAGCAGCCCACAGAAGAGCCCCATTCTTAATACATTTCATCCTGATATCTCCTGTTCATTAGTATGCAAGGCTCTGGGGATCGGGCAGAAAACAAAGCAGACACAATTGGAGTTGGCAGTAGACGGATTAGTACATATTTGACCCCTGACTTTTCACTCATTGAACCAGCAAGAGGGAAGCTTCCAGTGGAAGGCAGGCCCACCCTGCTAGATCAGGCTGGGCAGTAAGAGGGCGGGCTGAATGGTGCAGGCCAGTCTTTAGTGTCAGTCCTTGCTATCCTGGGCTCCAGCCTACATGGAGCCTTGGATTCAGCCCAGGGAAGCTGGGATCACCTGGGACAGAGCCTGAGACCAGCTCAGGCTGACACCTGCATTGTCATTCTCAGGGCAGTAGGCCTGGCAGCTCTGTAAGCTCCTGGCCTTCCCCTCTGCTTACTTTACAGATTGAAGGGACCCAGAAACTGCTGAACAAGGACCTGGCTGAGCTTATCAACAAGATGCGGCTGGCCCAGCAGAACGCGGTGACCTCCCTGAGCGAGGAGTGCAAGCGGCAGATGCTCACGGCCTCCCACACCCTGGCCGTGGACGCCAAGAATCTGCTGGACGCCGTGGACCAGGCCAGGGTTCTGGCTAACCTGGCCCGCCCCCCAGCCGAGTGATGGAGGGCGTCACCCTGCCCGTGTCATCCGCCCCCACCTGGTGTCGTGTACCTCCCCGCCACCTTGACCCCTGCCTTGCTTTTGGTCATGTGGGTCTTCTCAGGGGGAAGGCCTAAGGGGAGTCCTTCCCTTGCCACTTTGCACGACCCCCTCTCCCCACCCTCACCCCCGCTCAGGCTGCAGCTGGACACAGGGGACCCTGGGCTGTGGACGCCGGGTGTTGGCAGAGAGGGCTCTGAGGAAGAGCAGTGGGCCGCTCCCGCCTCACCCCTGCCTGGCCCAGGGCGTGGGCACCTCATGGGCCCAGGAGCAGCAGCTGCGGCTTCCTGCATGGGCATGGCAGGCTCATCCGGGAGCCCAGTGGTCTTTCCTCTTCCTCTTTGGCCCTTGGAGGCCCCCTGCTGCACAGTGTGGCTGCAGAGGGCTTTTTAGGAGGCAGTGGCTGGCGAGAGGAGGGATGGGCCTGGCTCTCGTGTACAGTGTACATTGGGATTTATTTAATGTGAGTCCTCCTGTGGGAGGAGCCGGGAGAGGGTCCAGAACACGTTAATTGGGAGTCTGTGCACAGGATGCTACTGTGTCAACCAACCGAGCATCAGGAAGAGTAGGAAGGGAACGTCCAGACACAACGTGAGGACGCAGTCCTCTTCTCTTCCAGGCACTCTTTTCTCTTTCTGCCTTTACTTTCTCCCCTCTCCTTCTTCCCCCCTCTTTTATTATTCGTTCTCCTTTTTACTCCTCTTTTAGCAACCCATTTCCTTCTTTTCTCTTGTGTTTGTGCTGAACACTCTTTTACCTCCTTTCTATTTGACTTGTGGTTGGATTAAAATAATCAAATTTGCTTCGTGGTCTGCCTGATTTTTATTATTTTCCTGAGCCACACGTTGAGGGGGCCTGTTGGCCTTGAACAGAGCCCTGATAAACCGATGATGCTCCATGCTGGGCGCGGGTGGACACTGGGTCTCACTAAAGGAGTGGGGAGAGTTCTGATGCTCAGGCAGTGGGGTCAGGGGTGGTTTGCTCCAGCCTCTTTACCTCTGTGTGGTGGAGTAGAGGGGGACTTTCCGGAGGTGAGTCACAAAGGCCACAGACAGCCAGTGAGGAAGGTCAGTGGTGCTCTCACAGGGGATACCAAAGTGGCCAGACTTGAGACAGGCTCGTGGTGCTTAGGGAGTGGCTGGAAAGAGGAACTCACAGCAAAAGAGCATAATGACTTTTATTTCATTCCTTTGTCACATGCAAGGTGGATTAGGAATGTGAATTGCTTTAGTGAGCATCACTATACTAGGAGATGAAAAGCAAGACAGAACCAGGGAGCCCAGTGGTCGTGGGGAGTGAGGAAGGAGAAGCTGGAAGGCCATGCTCCTACTCAGGGAGGAGAGAGAAGCCAACAGGGGCCACTGAGAAGGGAATCTCAGGCCAGAGGTCAGGGCCAGGCTTCTAGGGAGGGGGGCGTGGGGGCTGGAAGGAGGAGATCCCAAAGACCAAGAGGAATCTGAAGGCTCAGCTCTAGCTTCCTGCGGGGCTCACCTGACTTTAGGCAGGACCCTCTGGTTCAAACATCTAGAGAACCTAGCATCAGTCAGCAAACTCAGCTCCCTCCTGGGCCCCCATGTGACCAAGGCCCCTGGCTGTTCCGATGCCGAAGTGGAGAACAGGTTCTACAGTGAAGTTCAGAGTGGACGAAGTCAAGAGAGGGGAGTTAGGAAGGAAGGAGAAAGAAGACAAATGGCTCTGAAGCATTTACATTCACACAGCCATCTCAGGGCCCAAAGGCTTCTAGCTCACCTTGCAAAGTCACTAAGGACAAATGTTTGAGAGGCCCCCACTCCTCACCCAGCATCGAGCTGGCTGTTGTTTGGGATGCCAGAAAAGGGAGGCACTCATAATCACACAGAATGAAGCACCAAGGGCCTAAGGCCTCACAAGCTCTGAGCTTGAGATGAGTCCTGACTAGCAGCCAATGGTGAGGCAGAGAATGGAAGAGTAGGCGTGGATGCGGCGGGCAGGCTCTGCTAGTCTTTCCTCCATCCAGAAGGACCTGCTCTCCACCTCCAGGTCCCCACAGTGAACACCCTGCCTCCACCTCTCTGCTCTCCCTGAAGCATCTTTATTAAACTCAACAGTGCAGAACCCTCGACACTCAGGATTAGTTCATCTTCTTTCTCAGCTTGCTTTACAGCCACCACAATCCTCCCTCCTTCAATTGCTCCCCTCACTAAAGCCACACCTCAGCCTGGCTGTTCTTTCCAACATTTGGGGCCAACACCTGAATCCAGAACTTTGTTCTTCCTCGGAGGCCCACATACCACTCCCCTTTGCCCTTGGTCCCACACTCTGCTGCACCCTGCTTGGTCCCCTCAGCATTTGGAGTCTGTCGCTCCTTCAGGAGCATCTGACGCTTCTCGACATTGTCACTTCCATCTCCTGAGCTGGAGAGCAAGCACTGTGCTCTGCATGCAAAACGCAGAGAGCTCAGCAGCCTCAGCCCTGCATCCAACGAGGTAAAGCTCAAGTGTCCCACGTCTTCAATGATTGGGGCAGTTTAGGGATTTAGGGAGAGGGACCTACAGTCAGATGGTGCTAACGCTCAAGAGTCATGAGTGAAATCAGATCATCCCAGCCAGGAACGGAGGAAGAAAGAGTCCGATGGTCCCCAGGAAGCAGACAATGATAAACAGCCAGAGGAATATCCTGTCGATTACCATGGCAACGTATTTCCAATCTTCCTTCACCTGGAGGTAAAAATGGGTGAACAGTGAAGGAGGCCCTGCTTTGGAGGAAGGGAAGTGCCCTGTCCCTGCACGGCTCCTAAGAGTATCACCACTAGGGGGCAACTGTACCACAGGGAAGCTAAAAATCGGTGCAGAGAGCACAGTGGATGGAGAAAAGAGACTCAAAGGTGTAGTCATAGAGCTGCGCTGGTGGCCAAAAAGTCACACCTCTCCGGTGATTTCAAATCACCAGCACCTCCGAATCCTAGGGAGAAAGGTGGGCAATCTGCTTTCATGTAATTTGCAGCCTCTAAAAACCTGCTAGAGGGTTGACTCTGTTCCAACTCAACAGCAATTGACTTTGACTTTGACCTTTGGCAAGACTCCAGCAACCATTACTTAATGACACTTAACACAACCCGGTCCCTTCACAAGGGTCAGAGCCTTTGAAAGTCTCCTGATGTTCCCGGTAAAGAAAGCTAGATATCCAGACAGACTCTCCATAAGGGGCTTCTGGTGATTTAAACACAATGTTCAGCAGTTACAGAATGGTGGCTTACCCCGGTTCCTCACCTACCCATCCATCTGCTTGCTGGAAATGGAGAGAAGGAGACTGATGAGGGAAGATACAACCGCAGAAGACTGGAGGGCTGTCTGGAACTGGGGGAAAATCAGGCTCACAGCTGAGGCAAAGGGGTCTAGCTTTTCTCAGATTAGACAATAATTAACTTTTCTAGAAGCTGAGCAGGCCACCCAGTAATAACCTCCCGGCCTTTCCTCCTTCACTAAGTTAGTAAGTTGATAAGAAGAATGCTGGGATCCTAGGCAATGCACTCTCCCCTAATAATGTGGGACACAGTTGGGGGTGGTGGGGTAGGAGGAAGCCCAGATATCAAGTTCGGTCAGAGTCTGGATGAACAATGAAGTCCGCAAAATTCCCAGAACACATCAAACAAGGAGGAAGAGGAAGAGGCTCTCCAGGACACAGAGGAAGGCCAAATCTGGAAGCTCATTTATATAATCTTTCCTGAGAATAGCTCCTATGTCTCTTCCCACCTTTCAACCTCCTACTAGAAAGCATAATTTCAAGAAATTGCTGGTATAAGGGTGGCTGGAGAAAGTTAGTTTCTAAGATCTCCCCATCTTTGTACTCAGGGTCTGTGAGTCAGACTGTCTTCACTTTCAGGGTCCTCTGTCACTGGCCAATAGAGAATCCTGAGTTTGGGCAGCACAAATGGTTAAGAACTTGCCCACTAGCAAAAAGGCTGGTAGTTCAAACCACCTAGCATCACCTCAGAAGACAGACCTGCCAATCAAATCTCTTCTCCAAGGCCATAATCTTGAAAACACTATGGGGAAGTTCTTTTCTTCACACATGAGGTTGCCATGTTGTTGTTGTTGTGTGCTATCGAGTCAGAACCCACCCATATGTGGCCCTCCAGTGGGTTTTCAGGAGCAGTAAATCACATGGGAGATTGCCCACCCTTCTTCCACAGAGGATCTGGTGGATTTGAACCACATGCCTTTGGGATTGCAGGGCAGATACTTAGAACTAAGCCACAAGAGCTCTCAGGGTTGCTATGAGTTGGACCAAACAACAAGCATTTTCTTGTTATCTGTCACCAGTTACTCTAGGCCATAACTAAGAGAGATGGGTTTCCTGAGGAGGAAGCTGGCTGACACCCTACGATTCCTATTAAGGTGGTAAAAGGGGGCCCTTCCCTCAGCTCTAACTCACCGAAGAGTCAGTGTCCTCAGCCCGCAGGTGATCGGCAATGTAATGCACGCCTTCCAGCGCCTTCTGTATGCTGGGTGACAGCAGGAGCCCGCTGTCCTGCATGCACGCCTCAGCCTTGGGATCCAAGGCCCCTTGATGCAGGTCACTGCGGCTGCAGAGGGTACCCACTGTGGTGGGCGCATGGCCTGCACACACCCACCGGTCTTCCTCCTCCTCCTCTTCTCTCTCCTCCACATCCACGTTGGTCTCCAGCCAGCGATAGGAGGGGCTGAGCTTCAGGTCTGGCGGGTCCTGGATCTCCAAGGGTGGCGGGGGCCGGTTCATCAGGAGCCAGCGGGGCACGCGGCCCAGGAAGGCCAGCCGCACCCAGTGGGGCATGTTGTGGGTGCTGGGGGAACGGTGGTGGACGTTGAGCACAAAGACAGTGATGACGATGGACAGGGTGACAAAGATCATGGTGAAGAGCAGGTACTCGCCGATCAGGGGGATGACCAGGGAGGTGGAAGGGATGATCTCGGTGATGAGCAGGAGGAAGACGGTGAGGGACAGCAGCACGGAGATGCACAGGGTGACCTTCTCGCCGCAGTCCGAGGGCAGGTAGAAGACGAGCACCGTGAGGCAGGAGATGAGTAGGCAGGGGATGATGAGGTTGATGGTGTAGAACAGGGGCAGCCGCCGGATGACGAAGTAGTAGGTGACATCGGGGTAGATCTCAGCGCAGCAGTCGTACTTCTTGCTGTTGTAGGTGCCCGTGGCATTGATGATGGCCCACTCGCCACTCTCCCAGTAGTCCTTCAGGTCCACTGTCTGTTCCATCTGCTCCAGGTCGATCTTAGCCTTGTCGTAGGTCCACGAGCCAAACTTCATCTTGCAGTTCTGCTGGTCGAAGGGGAAGAAGGTGACGTCGATGCTGCATGAACTCTTGTAGATGGCGGGGGGCACCCAGTGCACGGTGCCCGTGAAAAAGAGGTGGGCCTTGGTCATGTGCGTCACCACAAACTCCCCGTCGGCACTGAGGAGAGAAAGGGAGTTGGGGGGCAGGGCAAGCACCGCCCACCTGCTGAAGCCAAGATGCCGTCCACGAGTTGCCACAATAAGCAAGTAACTGACTTGTAAGTAAGTGTAAGCTTTGTAAGCACACCTGGACACAGAAGAATTATAACCAGCAGAATTATCTTTGTATAGACCATTTACAATACAAAAATAAATTTTGAAGGAAATATTAATGTATTAAGGATAGACAAAAATAACTGCTAACATTTTGTATGTATTTCTTTTGTCAAATATTAGTAGTTTTACATATTTGTGATGCTGGTGACATATGGGTTTTCTACCTGTTTTTATTCATTTACGATCTTAGAGGTATATATCTTTTGAGTATCTTTTCCGCCTTTGGGATCTTGTCTTTCCCATGTGAGGCCCTTAGCTCCTTGCACAGAAAAGACCTAACACCTTCACCAATGAGCTCTTTTCTTGATTCCATCCATTTCATTTGCACTTTGGGCCAGCCTTATGCAGCAGAGCCTCTATTAGACTACAGGGGCAGAAGACTATAAGCCCCAATCCTTTTTAAAACCAATAAGAAGTTCACTGTGGTCGTGGGCACAAGGGAGGCAATGGGGCCAAAACGCTGTTTAGTGCAGCTGGCTTGCCTCACAGACCCATAGGAGAAAAACCTCTTTGCTGTTAAAGTTAGCAAGGTCATCATGAAAAATGCCTTGTGAACAAGGCTTTGAGGGATGGTAGGATTCGGCTACGGATGGGCTGGCGAGTGTACCAGCAGAGAGGTAAGCAGGAACAAGGGACAGAAAAGGACAGACCCTGCATGTTGGGCTCAGCTAGGAAACAGGGTGTAAGAGGGGTACACTGGGAGACAAAGTGGAGGGGCCCTGTGGACTGGAGGACAAAGGTTTTGCAGGAAAGTCACCAAAGGTTTTCCGTGGGGTATGAGGGTTAACGTGGAGATGTGACTTCCGGGTTGATGAGCAAGAATTGGAGGCCTATTGGGTAAGGAGTTGGGAAGCTGTTGTTGCTATGTGCGGTCAAAGCTGACCCTCCAGCAGATTTCCAGGGGCTATAAACAGCACAGGAAAAGATTGCCCATCTTTTTCCATTGAGCTGGCAGGTTTGAATTGTGTGCCTTTGAATGTTGTTATGTGCCTTCGATTCTGAACCAACACATAGCTAATGCTCCAGCGGATTTTCAGAGTCAGTTAATTGCACTGGAGGAGATTGTTCATCCCTCTCCCGCAGAACAGGCGGTGGATTCCAACTGTGTGCCTTTGGCACTGCAGCGAAACTTCCCAGCACTAGGCCACCAGCAGCACAGTAATTTACCACATCGTTTCTGTCATCACACATAACCACCACTAGAGGGCAACATGTGCCCCATTTTGAGGGTGGACTGGAAAAGAAAAGATGCCATTTTCTTTCTTGAAACTCTGGAGTAGGGTTCCTATATGCAGGGAGGTCCTTCTTTAAAGGAGTGCAAAATGTGGGGTTCGATTTTGTCCTAGTAAAAGAATCGCATGTGCTAGTAAAGGGCTCAAAATCAAGTAACACTGGCTTCAGCTGTGCTTGGCAATCCTAAAACACGTGAAACTATGTGAAACTAGGACTTTGGTCCTGATCCATGCAAGGTACACAGGAAACAGATGCAAGGATCCTAGCTGCCAATCTGAGGCACCATTCAGACCCCGAGGTGGGAGGGGCGGCCCGGGGTGGGAGGGGCGGCCCGGGGCGGGTGGGGCCGCCCGGGGTGGGTGGGAGCACTGGGGCATCTGGTTTCTGTGGCAGCAACCAGCACCAGGCACCTACTGTGTTAGCCCTTCTAGGCATGATAACCACGTTGACCGGAACTGGAGGACAGAAAGGAATGATTGTTGTTCTATTCTGATCTCCTCAGAGACACAGACTCCAGAAGTGGATCATTTCCCTGTCGTTTGATTGTTTAAAAATAGTGTTTTCAAAGTAAGGGCAAATCAGTTGGAAAAAGCTGGGTTAAATGGACTTCTTTGCTGCAGAACTTCTAACAGCATCAAAGATGTTTTCCAAAGGGTGTGAAGTTACAATATACAATGTTGCCCCAAATTATTTGACCACAGAACCATCTTCTGTACCTATTTATGTCTCCGGGAGCTCCAGTGGCCTAGTTGAAAGCGTATTGCACCGCTAAACGCAAAGGCTGCGAGGCTCCAGCAGTTCGCATCCGCCAGGCGCTCCGCTGAGGAGCACGGCAGACCGACCCTTTAAGATTTCAGCCTCAGCCTCAGAAAACTGACGGAATGGACTCAATGGCAGCGGATTTTGGTTTGTTGGGTTTGGGGTTTTTTGTTGTTGTTGTTGTTGTTGTTCTATCTTAAGGAACTAGAAGCAGGGGCTCTAAACTCTAGACTCACAGGGACCTCACGTGCATCGGAGTACAGCTGTGGTCCATCGTGGTTTAACGGCTGTGATCACCAGGGTGGATCTGAACAAAGCGTTCGGGTAGTAACCCAGAATCTAACCGCTTGTGCCACCCAGGGACTCCAGTGAGCCTTAGATATCTTTTAAATGAACATAACACCAAACATCTTTTCATTCTGACTTGATTTTTAAATGATAGCAAACATACACTAGTGATTTATTTATTTATTTATTTTTAACCCAAGCCCATGGCCTTGAGCAGATTCTGACTGTGGTAACCTTCCACAGGGTATGGAAGGCCGTCAGTCTTCACAGGAGACTGCCCGTCTGTCCCCATAGAGCGCCTGGTGGATTAGAACAGGTGAGCTTTTTGTTAGCAGCCCAGCCCCTTATTCCCCCTCCTCCTCCAGGGCTCCTTAACAAAACTAGGAATCCTCTTTCATCCCCTATTTTAAAATGTTCTTACTGGTCATCAGAATTCTCTTTGGGTATCTCTTTTTACTGACCTGTAGTCATTATAGACTGATTGTTTTGATCTGGAAAATCAAGCAAATACAAAATCACGTTTTCTTAAAAATGCACACATCAGGTATTTTTTGCCCTTTAGAAAATGCAACTACTCCGTGTTGCACACTGATTCTAACAGTGTGACATTCTTCAATGCAAACCCACAGGCTTTGTTTTCAGAATCTGCTCTACATTTGAAGTCTTTCTCTCACCCTCTGACCCCCTAACAACTCAGTACTGACATATTTCTGTCCTAGTACAGTGCTGGGCACTAGCATACGGTGGGGGTTAATTTGGGGAGCATGCATGAATGAGAAAACAAAAATACAAGGTGAGGAGGAGCCTATCCAAGTCTGTCCCAGCAGGGCCTACCGTCACCACTCCCTCTGCTAGACCCATCCCAGGACCCCAAAGGCTTCCTACTTGTTGTAGAGGACAATGTCGGGGATCCAGATCATCTCAGAAGGGACCCGGAGAGACGTGATGTTGCCAAACTCAGCCGGGTTCCAGCGCAGCTTGTAGTCGTTCCATTCCTGCAGTGGGGAGAAGGCATGTCGGCTGGCTTGGCGTGGGCACTGAATGTGGGCAGCCTGGGTGGCTGAGGCCGGGCCGGGCCCATCCAGGGCCCCTCCCCAGCCCCACACACAGTCTGAGCAGCTGTGATGCCTGTGAAGAGCTCCAGCCTGGGAATCACGGCCTGGTCTACAGTAGCCAACCTCTTCGTTTAACCTTGACCCTGAAAGCCTAGCATCCCAGGAAACCTTCAGTCCCAGGGTGAGAGTCGGTGAGTCACCCTAGCCAGGACTCTCTAGTCCTCATTCTGCCACTCTTCAGCTGAACAGCCTCCACAAGTCCCTTCACTCCTCTCTAGCAGTGACATTTCTTTGGCTCAGATAATGCCCACTGCTGCTGTTGTTGTATTGTTGTTATGTGCCGTTGAGTTGCCTGTGACTTTTAACAACAGCCCTAAACCCTACTCTGTCCTGCGCCAATCTAATTGTCTATGACACACCTTCCCCTATTACCCCAATCACAGAATCAGCTCACCTCATAGAGGGTCTTCCTCTCCAGAGCTGTTCCTCCACCCTCCCAAGCATGACATCCTTCTCCATGGACTGGTCCCTCCTTGCAACATGTCCAAAGTATGTCAGACGAAGCCTCAGAATTCTTGCCTCCAAGGAGCAGCCTGGCTTCACCCTCTCCTAGCAGTCCATGGTATATTGAACACTCTTCTCCAACACCACAGCTCAAAGACGTCAATTCTCCTATCATCCCTAGTCATTGTCCAACTCTCTGATGCATAGCAAAGACCATGTCTGTATCTGTCCTGTAGGACAGAGTAGAAACATCCCACAGAGTTTCCTAGGGAGTTCTGGTGGTCAAGTGGTAAGAAACTGCTCTGCAATCCCAGAGGCACACAGTTCAAATCTACTAGCTGCTCCTCCTGGAACAAGGATGAGGTATCTCCTCTCACGCAATTTACTATATCTGATAGATAAACCTGCTGGAGGATCAGTTATGGGTTGGTTCCGATTCGATGGTACATAACAACAATCTTAATAGAAGCTGCTGAAACATCTGTCTTATGCAGAGCCACTGGTGGCTTTAAACTGCTAGTCTTCGGATTGGTAACCAAAGCCTTAACAACTGTCCTGTTGGAGCTCCAGAAAATGCCTTTGTTTAAAAACAAAACAATAAAACCTCTCACCACTCTTAAGTCAGTTCTGACACTGACCTACTCTATAGGACAGAGCAAAACTGCGCTATGATGTTTCCCAAGATGTAGGGCTTTCCAGAGCTCTGGTGGCCTAGTGGTAAAAAACTGCACTGCGATCCTGAAGGCATGTGGTTCGGATCTCCCAGCTCCTCCTCTGGGAAGAGGGTCGGCAACCTTCTCCTGTGCCATGAAGTGCCTCTGACCACTCCTCTGGAGGGTCAGCTATGGCTGGATCTTCACAGCTTTCCCCTAAGAACTAGCACACAGGTTCAAGACAAGACCTTTCAGGGTTACCAGTCCAGCGCTTAACCCACTGCACAACAAGGACTCCCTAATGGTGAATGAGGTACCAGCTTTTCTCCATCAAACAGATGAGGACCTGGGAGAGGTATAAATACCAAAGACAAAAAGTCCCCTAACACAACTTAGAAAGTGGTCGTTCTTCACCAGTGTGCACCTTCCCCCACCCCCAGCTTGTGTCAAGTGTTCAGATTCTACTCACATCTCTGAGTCACTCACCCCACGTTGGGCCATATCGCTCAGTTTGCATGTCACACACGCTCAGAGGGCTTATGTAGGCCATGTCACAGGCTGTCTCCCTCCCTTCCACCCCCATCTGCAGGGACTGCTGGGCAATCAGGCCAGTGGGTTCTGCCTGGACTCATAAGGCCTCACCTGCTTTAGCCAGACATTGGTGGTCATCATCTGGTTCTTCTCGTCCTGGCAGGGAGTAGAGAGAGGGGAGGCACAGTCAGATTGCCAGTTGGTCCCCCAAAATAGGAAAAGCTGCTTCCAATCTTCTCATCTGCTAGAGGAAACTTATGGGACACCCCAAATCTAGCTCTGGCACCACCCCTACCAGGCACTGAGGACCTGACTCAGGTACACCGAGGCTCCCAGGTCACTTTGGTCCTCATGGCTGTGTGAAGGGAAGCAATCAGGACATTCAGAAAGCCCGCTGCTGCCCATCAATTCCCACCCTGGACAAGCCCCAGAGCTGAGGGAGTGGATGGAGGGGAAGCAGGACTGAGAAAATCTAGATTGGGCCACCTCCCAGGTCCACCTACCCTCAGACTGACCATGCCGTGCCCAAGGCAGGTGAGGGCCTGAGGTGAGGAGGCAGAGAAGACCTCCCCTTGCCCCACCCCCGAAAGAGGCCATACCCACCCCCAGCTGATTCTAAGGGGTGAAAGTTGGTAGGAAAAACCCACCACATCAATGAGCTGGGCGATGGACAGGCCAAAGCGCACTATCACCACGTCTGAGGTGTTGGGCACAGGCCGCGCCCAGCGATTGTAGCCCCCAAAGAGGTGTTTGAAGAGGCGGTCCTCGGCTTGCGTTTGACCTCGCTGTCCCAGTGCTGTGCAGGGGCGAAAGAAGAGTGAGGCCTTCAGGTGAGGCGCTTGCCTTCCACTCCCCTCAAATCAGAGCCCCTCCACCTCACTGAGCCTCAGTTTCCTCATCTATGAAATGGGGATAATAATCTAGAACTTATTGCAAAACAAGGGCTGTGGACCAAGTCGAATAGAGTGGGTCAGAATTTAGCACAGAGCTTACCTCATGCTTCAAGCTCGGGAAACGTCAGCTAGCTAAGGGGTAGGAACAAGTGCCAGAGAAGGGGCAGAAAATTCAGACCTAGACACAGATTCAACCTAGAAATTAAGAGCAAACATCAAGGGAGGCAGTAACGTGGGAGAGATGGATGCTCCGTGTGTCGGGAACTGGAGGGCGAAGGGCCCCTCCTTGAAGAATCTGTGTCCGGACGTGGTGGGGCAGCCTTTAAATGATTCACTGATATTAGTATATCTGATTCCAAGCCAGGAAATCCTTTGCTACATTGGGCATGTCCTCTATTTTTTTTCTTAAACATTTGGCATTTGCTATTTCTGCGACAGATGATCAACATGCTAGCCACAAGTTAGAAGTTCAAGCTCACTCAGCGGACCTGGGTAAGAAAGGCTGATGTTCTATTCTCAAAAGCCATTGACAGTTCTCTGGAGCATAGTTCTCTGGCACACACGGGGTCCCCACGAGTTGGAGTGGGCTCGGTGGCACCTGTGTCCCATGTGTGAAGGACACACACGTGTGTTTCACAGCGTCCTGCAAACGGCTTCCCCACTTCAGTGCTGCCTGAGCAAGGGCAGAGCGGCTGCTCCAGACCCCAGGAAAAAAGATATTGTGGCAGCTCGTGACAGCTTGCCAGTAACAATAGTGTGATATTGAGTGTCAACTGTATTCCAGGTGCCATTTGACCCATGGCTAGTTGCCCTTTCTCGTCAGTTTTAATCCTCACATTAGCTCTGGGAGGTTCACAGCATTATTTGTATTTTGCAGATGAGGAAGGAACACAGATGCTCAGAAGGTTCAAGGTGACGCAGTTGCTAATGTCAGAGCTGGGGCTGCCCTTCTGTCTTCTCACTGGGAATGAGATACTCGGCTCATAATTTTCTAAAGTCTTCTGTGGCTTTGACCATTGTGATAGTTCTATAAACAGGAGTTTCCTCCAAGTATTAGTTTTCAAAATTAAAAAATCCCCTCAAATTCATTGTCATCAAGTCAGAACTGACTCAGCTGAGCATCTAGCAGATTTTCATAGCTTATAAATCCCATGCAAGAAGATTGTCCACCTTTCTCCCACAGGCTCTTGTTGGATTCGAACCACAAGACAGGCACCAGCTTTGGTTTAATAGCACAACTCCCTACCGACTACACCACCAGAGCACCCTCCATGAATTTTATAGGTCTGCAGTTGCATCTAATTAAGAAAACCCACTTACCTGTTGGAATCAGAAGAAGCCAGCACAGCCTGAGGTTTGCCATGGGGGGGAGAGTACAATGGGGGCCGCCCATGACTTTAGAAGAGGAGCTGGCTTCTCCTGGACAGTGGGAGGACAGACAGGGCTCTACTGTGGCTGGGCCTCTAGCAGTTAGTGAGGCTTCCCTTCTGCTGAACCTGAGAGACACAGGAAAAGGCTCTTAGTGTGTCCTCAGGGACGAGGATCAATGTTTATCCCATACACAGAGGTGTGAAAGATGACGAAGCCACCCTCCACTGTTCTCCCTGGGGATAGGCCCTAGGAATCTCTGTGACTTGGTTAAGGAACCAGGTCAATCAGCCCCTCTGTCTAGAAGACATGCTCTGACCAGTAGCACAGAAGACACAGGACTGAAGTCCCCACCACCTTGGTGGCAGTGTCTAGTATAGAACATGAAGGCAATAATATCTCACAGAGTGACTGTGTGAAGCAGAGGGGCACATCCACAAAAGCTAACAGCCACCCAAGTATCCATCAGCTGATGAGAGTGACTCAAATAGATGCATTTAGATACACAAGATGGGATGTATACGTACAGTGGAAATGTTCACCCATGAAAGGGAACAAAGTGCTCATCATGACCACAACACAGACTACCTTGGAAATACGATGCTGAGTGAAAAAAGCCAGTCAAAACACATCATGTATTATATGACTCCTTTAAGGGAAATGTCCTAAACAGACATAAGGAAGAGGAGGAGAAATGGAGAAGGGCTGCATGATGGGTAAAAGTTTCCTTCCAGGATGATGAGCTGGGGAACTAGACAGTGGTGATGGCTGCACAGCATTACAGACATACTAAATACTCTAAGTGTTGTTATGTGCTATTGAGTCAGAGTTGAGTCATAGCTGACTCTCCAGGAGGTTTTCAGAGGCTGTAAATCATACCAAAGGAGACTGCCTATTTTTCTCCTGCAGAGCAGCTGGTGGATTCGAACCACTTACTCCCTAAAATAACATCAGAGTTCCCTGAAATACACTAATAGTAGATTTTGCTATGGGTATTTTAGCACAATAAAGAAAGAAAAGAGGACTACGGGGAAATAAGTATTTGTAATATGCAAACCACTACTATAGTCTTCGCAATTACATGCTATGCATCAGAGAGTTGGACAGTGAATAGAGATGATAGAAAGAATTGATGCCTTTGAGCTGTGGTGCTGGAGAAGAGTGTTGCATATACCATGGACTGCTAGGAGAACAAACAAGTTTGTCCTAGGGAGGGTGAAGCCAGAATGCTCCTTGGAGTCAAGGATTCTGAAGCTTCGTCTGACATACTTTGGGCATGTTGCAAGGAGGGACTGGTCCTTGGAGAGGGACATCATGTTTGGGAGAGTGGAGGGGCGGCAAAGGAGAGGAAGACGCTCGATGAGATGGATTGATTCTGTGACTGGAGTGGTGGGAATAAGTGCGTTTGAGGTGGCTAGGTTGGCACAGGATAGAACAGCGTTTAGAGCTCTTGTACAAAGGGTCGCTAAGATAACAACAACAAGAAGTACATGAGGAAGTAAGAACTGGCATTGGTGAAATCATGAGGCCTCTCTGTCTGGCTTGTTCATATCCTATCCCAACTCTCAGCCATGGTTTGAGATATGATAGATGTTTCACTGCCCTTCATAGCTCTTAGCCCACCCTGGCCTACCCCAGGGTAAGGAGCCCTGACTTGGACTTTACAGACATGACACTTAGTGGTAAGAAGCTGAGCTGTAGTCCAATGGCATGCACCAGTCTTAATCCACCAGTTAAACCCTCAGCCAGGTGAATTGATGTGGAATTGACTGTTGCAATGGGCTCTTAGGTGTCAGGAAATGTGAGGACGGCACAGGATAGAGCAGGGTTCAGATTTTTTTTTTTGTTGATAGGGTCTCTGTGAGTTGTACTTGACTTGATGGCACCAACAACGACTGCATGGGGGAAAGATTTGCAATCTCTTCTCATGTAATTTATTGTCTTGGAGGGTCAGATATGAGTCAATTCCACCTCTACAAGATGCATCAACTGCCTAAGTGAGTCACTCAGTCCCACTAGTGTTCTGTTATATGTGCAAAAATTAAGATAGCACCCTCCCTTGTCCTGTCCACCATTCAGGACTGGTGAGAGGTCCAGGCAGACTCAGGTTCACACAAGCCCCTGAGCTCTGCTTAGCATCAGAGAGTAAAGCAGTTGTTCTCAGTGTTAGCAGGACACCATCACCCAACCGCATCCAACGTTGACAGCTTGTGCAACGTGGACAGAGGGTGTTAGAAGGATTGATGTTCATTTCACAGTGTTTTGATTTCTGTAACATAAAATTGATTAAAATGGAGTTTTCTGGAATATGTTTGGAATAGAATCCCTGGGTGATACAAACAATTAAGTGCTTGATTGCTGGGCGAAATGGTGGTGGCTCGAACCCACTCAGAGACATCTTGGGACATGGGCTAGATGATGTGTTTTAGGGAAGTCACAGCACGAAAACCCCACAGAGCAGCCCTGATCCAACTTATGGGAATATGGGGTGGTGTGAGTTGGAATTAAATTGACAGAAACTCATATCATCAGCATCAATCCAGAGCCTGTTTGCCTTAGAAGACACTCCTACTTCAGGTCCAGCCCCCAGTCCCTTTATTAATTTCTCTTGCTCTCGCTTTCTCTCTCTCTCTCTCTCTCTCTCTCTCTCACACACACACACACACACACACACACTGCACATACTGGCAGCATAGTATGTACCACATTAGTCTACTAACTAAAGATCAACAGCCCAAATATACTAATCCCTCCAAGCGAGAAAAATGGTAGTTCACTTCCGCCCCCAAGCCCATAAAGATTCGTAGCCTCAGAAACCTCATTATGAGTCAGTATCAAGAAAGTCAGATACATTTCTTTATTGTTTCCCAGTATATAGAGTGTTATACTGTACTATAAGTGTGACAAAGTGAACTAAAACAGAGCTTTATGAAAATGTTGGAAATATTGAGAATCACCAAAATGTGGCACAGAGACCTGAAGTGAGCACATGACATTAGAAAAATGGTACCGGTAGATGTGCTTCAGTCAGAGATACTACAAACTTTCAATTTGTGAAAATGCAATCTGTGAAGCCAGTAAAAACAGGCCCAATAAAACCAGGCATGCCTGTGTGTGTGTGCTTTTCTGCATCACCCAAATGTCCTCCCAGCAGCATGTATTTAACGCAATGCTGTCAACTCGATTCCAATTCATAGCAACTGAGTAGAGCTGCCCCACAGGGTTTTGGAGGAAGTAAATCTTTACAGAAGCAGACTACCCTAACCTTTCTCCTGTGGAGCCACCCCCAGCCTCAGGGTTACTGGACAAGCGTCTAAGCCAGTAAGCCGCCAAGGCTCTCAGGGCCCATGTTAACTAGTTAATGTCACAAGTATATGAAAATACATCTGCTGCGTGTTTTACACACTTCCCCTCCCCCAAACAGATGCACATCTGAGAATCCATTTTTTCAGGGAACAGAGTGAAAGTAATCAAGTGAGCTGTGTTCACCAGGCAGCCTTCTAGGAGAGAACTGTCTGTTGCTGTCAAGCTGGCTCCAATGCATAATGACCCCATGAACAACAGGACAAACGTCTGCACAATCCTG